GAAATAGGGCCTTTTTAACTGCTCTGAACATGAAGTACGGGCCTGCGGCTGGGGAAAAATCGTCAGTGGTCAAGGATCGATGTGAAAAAAAGTCACAGCCACCACACAGGAAATATGACAACACATTATACCAAGCGAACTTTACGGCATCAGGAGGGGTCACTAACAGAAGCTGGGGCATACCAGTGACATTTTCATGGGGCGGCTATCGAGGACGGTCTTGCGACCTTGCTTCTTGATTTTTGCGGCTCTTTATCCTCGCATCGAGAAGCGGAATCTTGCATTGAAAGGAGCGTGCGTCTGAATCCCTGTAATACTCAGAAAAAAACAGCGAGTCGAACCGCGGCAAAGGCCTCCGAATCAAGATGATGTGGTCGGTCTCGCTATGGAATCATCCACCACGGGACTCTAATGGTCCAGAGAATAGGAAGTGCGAGTTACTGGGGGTGGCTGTAAGTCGCATGATAAGCCACGCATGTTCACCCTGCTGATTCCTTATGCGTGATCCAATGAGTCGACGTTGAGCTTTTTTCCATTCTTCTGGGTTCATTCTTAGCGACTGAATCGCCGACAACAACCTTGCGGAATGTATATTTTTCATTGTAGAACTTCTCCAATTCTTTACAGGATGCTTCGAGCTCATCCTCGTCGTAGGTTGTTGGCGCGTAGGCGACGAAGATTGTCAGAGCCGGAGTTCAACCACATGTTTCTTCAATCGCAAAGCGCCTACTGGTGTCACCAGATTCTCGATGTAGTAGCTGTTTTCATGGGGAGCGGCGGTGTGTGACGAGGGCGTCTCCCGCAAGCAGCGTTTGCGGTTGCCAGGTCGGAAGGAACAGCCCCTCTCCAGTTTCGCATACGGCGTGCAACGAGCAAACATTTCTCCTCGTCAGTCCGATGATGTCGTACTTGGTCTTTCTGACCTGCATCATCAGGTCTACGATAAGATTCCAATGCAAGCGTCCAAGCGTTGAAAGTACTACCGTCATCCAGGGCGACTTACCTATCTGCTGGCTTGAGATTCTAGCGGCCGATCCGAGACTACCCTTCCTGTGTTTCCCTCAAGTTCATGGGAATGATATCCGAATCCATCAGTTTTTGACGTGCAAAATCGACCGTGCGCGGCTTGTCAGGCTTTAACGTGGTTCCCTCTACACTCGTACGGTTCGGATCGAGAAGCATTCCTATTCTGCTCTTAAGTCATTTATCCAGGACATAAGATTTGTCAATTTCTTTTCATCAATTTATTTCTTTCTAAAAATTATTTGTTGTTATTGTTGCAACAACTTCTAGACGACGCGGTTTACAGTTTGTTTGGAGATTTGAGTGCGCTTCGAGAACACACCTTTCAGATGGAACTATCACTACAGTACGGTCTCTTCTGTGTACGCAGATGTGCTCCTACTGTTCAGAAAGGTCGAGAGTGCCTTTTTCATGTTTGTATATTGATTCGTGGCGTCCGCTTTGGCGCCATCGTATTTCTTGAAATCTCCCACTCCTCACTCCTGAGCTTGCAACTTGTCTCTGTCTTCAGGTGTCTTTACAGGTGATCTCACGGCAACAACCACAAGTGAGTTTTTTTATCAATCAGTGATCATCCTTAGTAATCGTACTCTCAATATTGTCAAGCACGATCCTTGCTATGTGCGAAAAGAACGGGTTGAGGAATAACTTGAGAGATAACTTCGAAATGCGTGCGGAGTGTGAGTGAAGGGTTCTGCCTCCTCACTTCGCACGCTAACTAAGCCGTTCTGGGCTCTGCCTCTGCTATCCTCAAGGTGTACACTTGCTTCATGTAAAAATCCCACAGAGAACACTCACATGGGAACCCCAACAGGTCGATCCGGCCATTTGCATTGAGATGTACATACGTGTGCGTGCCTTGAGCCGCTGAATTCAAATCTGCCCTCCTTTTTTGCGGAACGATTCTCTGGAAGAGAGTTACGGACCATTTAACCTTTGCTCTGTTGTACAAGTTGAGAGATGGGTGCGGCAAGCATTACTGTGCGATGCCTAGTGGAGAAGAAGCAGTGCCTGATGAACATCGAATGTCACATGCTGGAAGTACCTTTGACTCTCAAAAGAGTTTTTGGCTTTTGTCAACAAAGCACTTCATGATCAAGTGCCCAGAAAACACTTCTTTAGCCAATATACTAATCTGCTGGATTATTGACAATAGAAGCGGCCATTGCTATATTTGTGGTTCCCCCTGAAAATCTTTATGATGAGGATGACCGTTACTAGAGCTCGCATAGAGGAATGGAGGACTTACGGTATAAGAGCACATGTGATATACTTCCACAAAATGATCCTACTCTATGTAATCCGCTAAGTATGTCTGTCCGTGTGTGTATGTTGTGTGTGCGTCTGTCTGTGTGTCACGAAATTCATAGCGCCTGTCCCAGTAGCAGTGAGACAATGATTTCAAGAAGTGATGTACAGGGTGTGACGGGAACACTATTGGTAGGTGACAGGAAGTTATATCAGTTGATAAGATTCGATAAGGGGCTGTAGAAGGAGAAGGTCACTATAATCATAACGCAAGTGACAGCATCAGCCTGCTCTCGATTTTAAGATATGATATGGATAGTCCAAGAACATCATTAGTGGGTCACAAAAACTGTAAGCTGCTGATAAGATTCGATAAGGGGTTAGAAGGAAAAGGTTACCATATTCACAGCGCAGGTCACAGCAGCAGTCAGCTCTTGATTTCGAGATATGATATAGAATGAGGGCCAAAAACATTAATGGTGGGTAATAAGAACTGTGAGCTGCTGATAAGATTCGATAAGGGACGTTAGAATAGTGAGGTCATCGTATTCATAGCGCAGGTCACAGTATCAGCGAGGCGTGCGTTTCAGCAAGTGATATGGGGAGTGAGTTGGGGACATCAACCGTGGGTGACTAGAAGCGATAACTACTGATAGGGGCTGATAATGGAGGTTACAATCGTCGTCGCTGTTCAAGGCGTTCACGCTCCCAAATCATAGAGATTTAATTATGAGGACGTTGATGACGGGTGACAGGTAATCTTATCAATCGATAAAAATTGATACGATACCATCTGCGCTAACCTCTCACCGCTTTAATGCCGAGTATTCGAGGCTCAGATTGTGAAACTTTCCTTTGGCCAACACTTTCCTGATAACACTAGAATGAGTATATAGTCGGCAAAAAGTTGTTGAGCGGGGGGGGGGGAGGGGGGTATCCAATAACCATGCAACGTATATCCCACGGGCGTACAAAGTGCAAAATGCGACCCCCCCTCCTCAGAGCAAAAGTACCTCATGTGTTTCACACAAGGATGCTGTACCCTGTCTGTGTTGTATGGCCGTTATGGCGCGGACCGCAAGTATAAGCGTTTACTATGGAACGCAGGATCCGCAGGGTTGCTCTATCTGTTATGATTGTACCAATACAGAGCTGTATGAGCAACGCAGTGATTGGAAGAGTTCCGTTCCCCATTATGGAGCGCGCCTGGCGAAGCCAGCCAGCTCGGCGAAGCCGAGCTAGAGAGAAGGAGGAGAGCTCGGCGTCAGCCGGGCGATCCGACTGTTAGAAACAATACGAAATCTCAAAATGAGCGGAGCAAATGAAAAGAATTCTGCACGGTACATTGCAGTTCTCCAAAGTTCGGGAGGGAACCCACCAGGATGTACATCGAAGTATACAGCCGAGTACCAAGAATAGATAAGAAGTTTTCAAATCAAGGTGAGCAAAATGAGAATATATAAGAGATAATACACGGAAAATGGAGTCCCTCTGATGAATAGAAAAAAATTATATCAAGGCCAATACATAAGAAGTGAAGCGTTCGTACATAGCTTTAAAACGGTGAGAAGAAGTACACGTCTGAAGGTAGAATCAAAGACGTAGCACCTGGTGGAATATTGCGTAGTTTCACACATTTATTGGGTGGCAGAACAGATTCATGATCTTTAGAGGAACCCCACGCGCCGACTATGAGAAACGCCAACTGGGGGAACCTGGAGCGGCCAGCTCACATAAATTTAAAAATTTCTTATCTATTCTTGGTACTCGACTGGATACTTCGATGTACATCCTGGTGAGTTCGAAACACCTCTTCAGTACTGCTTCCCCCTGGATTTTTGGAGAACTGTAACTGTACCGTGTGTGCAGAGTACTTTTCATTTGCTGTGCTAATTTTGAGAACTTGTTTTGTTTCTGTCATTTTGTGGAAGAATACCACATGTGCTCTTGAACCATAAGATTCCCATTACTCGATGCGAGCTCTAGAAACGGTCATCCTCATAATAAAAGTTTTCAGAAGGAACCACAAATATAGCAATGGCCGCTTCTATTGTTAAATAATCAGAGATTTAGGTGAATCGGCCAAACAGAAGTGTTCTGGGGACTGATATGAAGTGCTTTGAACAAAAGCAAAAATATTCCAGAGTCAAGGATTCCAACATGCAAGTTCGTGTCTCTGAAGCGCTGCGCTTATCCACTGGGCCATCGCCGCTTGCCGCAAGCAACTCCTTCTCAACTTGTACAACAGAGCAAAGATTAAATGGTCCGTAACTCTCTTCAGAGAATCGTTCCGCAAAAAGGAGGGCAGATTTGAATTCAGCGGCTCAAGACACGTCCATATATGTACATCTCATTGCAAATGGCCGGATCGACCTGTTGGGGTTCCCTTGTCAGTCAAACGGGAGAACAAATATATGCGCAGACAAGTGGGCATTTGGCTATGTTTAGAGAGGTTGCTGGGAAAGCTGCAGGCGGGTCTGAAGGCGTTACCTGGGTATCTTTACTCTGCTTTTTGCATGCTGAACGGAGGTGTCATTCTATTGCGGCTGCGATCCCATTCACTTTGCACATAGCAAGGATCAAGACCTGAGTACACAGACGCTTCTTTTTTGATATCACCACAGAAGAGCAAAGAGAAAGGAAACTAGCACCTAGCAATAAGAATGTTCAGAGTAAAGGTCAAGCTCAATAGTGGTCACTTAGTGATCAACAACTGGAAATCTGACTATCTACTTATCCTCGGCTATGATTTCGGCTGTCCCTGTCACCTTTACAGTGAACCAAGTCGTTGAAGGGTTCTTGAATCGCACCACGTATGCTCCAGGGATCACGGTTACATTACCATATTCGGGTAGCTGAAATCGCAAGTATACCGAGGAGGATAATCCTTTTACAGTAGCCTTATATCGTACCTTCAAGCTTGTTAACGTTATCTTCGGCCAAATCTTCACTTCTTTTCCTGCGTCTCTTCGTACTATTTCGAATTCGACATCGCCATTGATAGTAAAATTCCAGATCAGTCGACCAGCTTGGTTGCACGTTCTCAAAGTACATACAGTGGGTCTAGAGATGTTTGAGATGAGAGGGAATATGTTTATACCTGACAATTTCGCAAGTGCTCTGGCTTTTTAGAGAGAATGTTTTGCTAGGCGGAGGCTTGGTAATTCCATAATCACTCCATATATCGTCGGCCTTAAAAATAGCGGGGTAGCAACTTCATATGCACCTTGATGTTATAGTTTAGTTCCAAGTTGGCCATAATTGGATTCACTCACAGTGAAGTTTCATTCTCAAACAAAATTATTCATGGGAAGTGAGGAACGTTGCAAATGTGTTCTATGCTAGAAATCTCTATGAGACACTCTATGAGACACTGCATTTGATTTCCTACTACTTCTTGATTTCTTTCGATTACTATCCCATAGAAGTGGAGTGTCAGGTCGTTACAGAAATGGGTTTCCGAGAAATCTTTTGCCCTTTACCTCGGCTCTCGAATCATGGAAGAAGTTTAGAGCTTGTGATATCTATATAATCGAATAAAAATGTTTTTTAGACAGCTTGAGATTAGCTGAAGCGATGAAGGGACGGTAATTCAGACTTTGTAAAAGTGCACCGCATAGGGGCCCTCTTGGAAAGCGACTGCCTGCAGCATCGAACCCCTAATTTTCAAACTTTTAGCATCAACTGAGGTTGGTTCTTGATTTCCAGTGAGAGGAAATTCCATGACCTCTAGATCTCTCAATCTTTATAAGTTCCGTGAAGGTAATTCAGTAAGCTCAAAATGGACTCAATGGGGATATGATGCTCGCCGTAAGGTCGTAAGTTAGATCTTTGAATAGCTCAAACCGTTGTAAGCAGTTCTACGCTACACACCCACTGGAACATGTATTCAGCAACTAGGCCTGGACCATTTTAGAAGTCAATTTCGTCGCGCTCCAATTTGAACACTCAATTGTGTTGTTATTGTATTGTATTCGAGGGAACAGAGAGCTTGAAAAAAATTCAAAAACTAAGAAAAGGGCTAAGGAAGGAAATCAAGAACTGAGAAGACAACTAAGGACTGTATAGGATAAGAAATACCCTGCACAGCAATATAGGTGGATGACTGAACTTTTCACCTTCGAGTAAGAAAAAAGCCATTACTTATGAGCGAATCCAGTAGTTCCAACTTGCTGATTTTCATAGCTCGAAAAACTAACTCCTCTGTAGTCTGCACTTGTAACAGGCCTGGGTGGACGAGTGCATCCCTCTGGGGGATTTGAATAACCGGAATCATCTCTCCGTGTTCCACCGTACGCCACAGGAATTGCCTTGAAAGTGACATCTAACTCTCAGTTGTTCAATTGTTTAATTTGTGAATTTCAGCCATGTTGTCGCTCCTCACCTTTGTGCTCACTTGGACGCACGCTCCGCTGTTTTCACGCTGAAACACCTTGGGAAAGGTAATCTTGCGCGAAGCGTGGAGACTGTAACATTTTCGAAGTTGAAGAATGCATGAGTAGAGCGGGGCAACCTCGTGACCGAGTCGTCGCCCTACCGATTCGCAACGCTAGACTTTCCTTTCGAAAGGCTCCCAGGCACTGCAGGCATTCCGGTGAGAGCTCTTCCGGCCACGCCTTTTCTTCACTTTATGCAAGTACCAGCGCGATTCGGCTTGTGGCTACACGAGGGGGGGGGGCAAAAAAGTCACTTTGACCGAGTCACATATCAGCAAAGTTTTCGCAGCCCAGACAGAGGACGTGGATACGAGTACCAGGGCGGAAGATACCCAAGATGTTCCTCGATAAGCAGGAGCTGGCTCTCGCCCATCACCTTCATGTACACCAAAATATGAAGTCATCTCCAGTCGCAGCCTGACTGGAGAAGACCTTTTTCATGCTGCAAACGACTATCTCGCTGATCTCAGGCACCACATCGCGGTCGCATGCCAGAATCTCTCGATGGCGCTCGTCCGCGGAGTGTCATGATAGTATTTAATATGCTCTTCAATATGGTGGTAAAATGTCCGATCAGAATTTGATAAAGTGTAACTTATAGCGCCTCGAAAGTCAATGAGGCAAAGTGACTTTTTTTGCCCCCCCCCCCCTGTATAAGGAGCATCCATGCTAGGCTTTTCCTGTTTTACTGCACTTTCGGTTACGTTACGATTGTCGTTCGAATTCGAGCCGCAGAATTCACCAACGCTGACAGTGCCGCAGCTGCATTCGAAGCGGTCTTCTGGGTCCCTTTCCCGTCACATGCTAAATGCTACTCGCGGAAAACACGGTAGTGACAATCACCTCGCAATGAATATAATTCGGTTTCTCACTTCTTGCCCTCCAACTTGCTTCTTATGCTTCGATCGCTAGCCCTTCTGGACTTTACGCTTCCCAGCAGCACTATGAAGGAACGGTTTGCGCTGACCTGTGAAAATGCAAAAGATCGTGTGTGAACGGCAGGGTGGACCACAGTGGACAAATTTGTGCGGCGGACAGTCGTAAAGTAAAAATGACACAGCGCACAGTAACTTCGGCGACACCTTTCTTTTGTAGTGATTTCGCCTTCAGACCACGCCTTCGAAGTGCGCCTTCCAGCCAAAAGCGATGCTGCTAGACAAGTGACATGGGGATTCCTGCGACTGTACCCGTCCCAACGCGCGCTTCTATGGCCTTTCACCCATGCAAGTGTTCAAGGCTAAAGAATACCCCATTCAGAGCGTTTCCGAATTTCCCTTGGGAATTTCTTTTCTACAGACGAATCACATGGCAACCACTCTTCCGTATTTCGACACTATTACCTACGCTCCTATCGCGGACAATGTCTTTAATCTCCGGTATCGACCGGATTTGCCGAATACCAATACCCTGACGGGCAGGGGCGGTCGAAGCAGCCATCCTCAGAGGTGGTGTTGTGGCATGGTTTCTCTGACAGAGTCCTCAGGTCATGTGCTCGAGAAGTTCCTGTACCACTAACAAGGGAGGTGTTTCAGGTCATGACGCGCTTTTTGGAAATGGTTTGTTGCTTGTTGTAGGGGTCCATACAAGGGTCACAAAAATGGGTTTCATTTTTGCTATGCGTTTCTGGGTAGGTCAAAAAACTGAGTGAAAAGAATTTGACAAGAATGGGCGACAACAACCTTAATGGGCTCCTTTCTGCTTGTAACTTCGAGCATGCATAGTTTATGAGGTGGTCACTAATTAGGCCTCAAAATAGATTCGATTAAAGTCAAAATGTAAGTATCATGTGGTAACACACTTGGCATGCACCGACGCAAGAGTGATGTTTTTGTCAGCGCTCCCTTCATGACCATTGCTTGCGGATCAGATGCCGTGCGAGAGCCACGAGTGGGATCGTGTAGGCGCGACAAATGCGGGACTCGGTTCGGATCCTCATTGCGGCAGCAGTTTTGCATCTGTATCAACGCAACGAGACGTGAACATTTCCGGAAACAAGGTTCTCCACACAACTGTGCTGGTTTGTAAGGTGTCATCCAGGAAAGGCCAATAGGACAGCCTGGCCATTTGCAGTGAGTGCATATCATTGTACTCGTCTTGACACAGTGAACCGTCGAAACTACCTTCAAAATTTGCGGAACGATTATCTGAGCGGAGTTATATACAGTGAATTTGCACCTGTAGCGCGACTCACAGCTCTCTCCGTGCGAAATAGATATCATATTCGTGTTCAGGGGGTCAAACAACCTCTAGAAAAGAAACCTTGAGGAAATCCGAGGTTCTGACTCAACTTCGAAAAAATGGGGTAGAGATGGTCGCGCCTGGATGATAGCCAATAATCCGACTAGCCTACTGGTGATGACTGGTCTTTGCACTGAAATAACCCTTCAGTCATGTCTTTTCGCAAAGAACAATACCTGGCTCACTTGTATGAGCCGCCTGCATCATTTTCCTGATTACCGGTAGAAAATACCATCCCAAGACCAGTCATCCATGGTGGGTGGACCCCGCCTGCTGCCAAATGTCCATAGAATGGCCCACATTTTCCAAGTAAGGTCGAAACGTCAGACTTGGCTAGAAATTAGTCTCCAGGGGTAATCCAACCCGCTGAACATAACATGCTGATGGTATTTTCATTGCAATAACCCTTCTGACATGAACTACGAGGGGCAGCACAAGCACGCTTTCTGGCCACAATGTGGCCACAAGTATATGCCTTCAAATGGCATATACTTGACTTATTTCTACTGCTAGACACACAGGCACGCGTATGAATGGAAAGCTGGAAAATGCAAAACATTTTCCGCGAGAAGGATCCGAACTCCACAAAGTGCCAAACCTTGTCGTGCCTTCCAGAACCCGTTGTGTTATCCACTGCGCCATCCGAGCCGTTTGATGTAGTGGTGAAGGGTTTGCTGACAAAAACATCACTCTTGCGTCGGTGCATGCCAAGTGTGTTACCACATGATACTTACATTTTGACTTTAATCGAACCTATTTTGAGGCCTAATCAGTGACCACCTCATTAACTATGCATGCTCGAAGTTAAAGCAGAGAGGAGCCCATTAAGGTTGTTAAAACCGCCCATTCTTGTCAAATTCTTTTCACTCCGTTTTCGATCTACCGCAGCCCCACGCATAGCAAAAACCGAAACCCATGTGTTTGTGACCGCTTGTATGGACCCCCTACAACAAGCAGCAAACCAGTTCCAAAAAGCGCGTTATGGCCTGAAACAACTCCCTTGTAAGTGCGGATGGATCTGACCACTGAGGATGCACACGCGGACGAAGCTGGGGGCGGCACTCGGGCATCCCTACCCTGCATCCTTATACAATTTTACCTTTTTTCCTGTGCTTTTTTACGACTGCACACTGGTGGTTCAGTCAGCCTAACCTATTGGAGGCCAAGGGGCCGCCCCTCATAAGTGAAAACGTATAGTTTGGGCGGTATTATGGCGCACCAGATAGGATGTTACCGTGTTGATTACGACGACTGAACCTGAATATACAACAGAGTAACTCTAACCTGTGGTTGAAGATATTTATGTAGGTCGGACACATCATCGAGGAATATCAAATTACTGAATGTTTCAGCATCCATGATGAATTTGGAAATCTAAAAGGAGATTGAAATGGACCGAGATGTGAAGGGGAACCATGTAGACATGGATGGCAATGATAGCCAATCGTTCCGAAGTACTTTTCTTTATCGTCTCCAAAAAAATTGCCCTAACTTTCTGTAGTCTCGAAATTGTTGGCTTAATGCATCCGCACTTGTTCCTTGCTCTGTAAGGGACATATCCGCTATTCAGTGCCAGCAACGTAAACCGTGGAAAATCGGCGAAAAATTCACCTTGAACATCACACGACAGATTGTGGGTGATTCAATGAGCCACCATTTTGTTGCTTGTGAATATATCACGACGATTTCTCGAGCAAAGAAGAGGTTCGAGATTTCGGAGTCTTTTTCGCTGGTGATACATGGGAGTGTCGGGGCTGAGATTGGCGTGGACGCCGTCTGTTTTTCACCAATTGTTGTCGTCAGCTCGTCCGCTCACGGGCTGGCGTCAGCGTCAAACTCCTCCTGACACCCCCTACCATTCGCAGAGAACAAGACATCGTTAAGGACAATTACCGCGTCCAATATGGGTTGGCCTAATTTTTTTTCTTATTTGAAATATCGCGCTAAAGATGAAAAGTTTTGCCATTGAGTTTCAAACGGTCTGCAGAGAATTCCTTGCCCAATACGATGGCCCGCTCCGTTTTTCTGGGATTTCTATCCTCTACTATTTAGGTGCTCACAAAGTGCTGCAGGCGACACGCGCGGTAACTAGCGATGCAAACCTTCGTCCAGCAGCGTAAACGCGAGATAAGAAGGGTCATGCATTCGTGATTGCTTCAACTCACACGTTCATTTCGCAAGAACGGCATACTCTTTGCGAGGCGGTTGTGGCTAAAAAAATTCAGGGGTGCATTTCACGGATCACTGTATCGCGGGAATTGCCTCTAGATTCCACAAAAATAGGAACATGGGCAAGAATACTCACATTGTCACGAAAGTATTCGGACCATATTTTCGTCACCAGTCGAGAAAGCTGTACTGACGTTGAGAATGGGTTCAGAAACTCGCTCACTCTCATACCTTTCAGATCAACAATGCCAACAACAGATGCCGGGCGTCCTGAAATGGTGGCTAAGAACGCGTGACATGTTCAATCGGTCTTGAATTTGGTTTCAAATTCGCGAATTGGTATGGAAAGTCGTGGCCCTAGTCTGAAAAGCCGTCGAACTCTAGGTGGAAGTGGTAAGTTTGCTGTGGACTTTCGGGCAGTATGAGTGTCACGCCGTCAAAGCCGTTCTCTGCCTTCTTGTTGAAGCGCGCATGCGACAAA